AGTTTATTACTTTTTATTTTGCTTATTTTTTATATTTTATACTTCACTAGTTTTTACTTTTTAATATTTTTTATGCTTTATACTTTTTATTTCACTTTATGCTTTTTTTTCATTTTCTTTTTTTTACTTTTATTTCTAAGATTTTTTCTTTTCTTCCTTTTTTTTTTTTGTAATGAAATTATTATTTTGAATGATATTTTTATAAAACAAATAGATAAATATTATTATTTTGGTTAGATAGACAAAAAAAAAAGAAATAGAAAATTAGCAATTTATTGGTTTAATTAAAGAAAACGAAAAATTTGAATTAATTTAATATCATATGTTTTTATTGATGGATATTATTACTTACTTTCTAGTACATTTAAACAATATAAGTTAATTTGATAACCAATATAAGTAATTTAATTATAAATAAGCAACATAAATAACTTATTGCAATATAATTCAAGCAATATAAGTAAATTGATTGTAAATAAACAACATAAATAATTTATTATAATATAATTTGAATATTACATTACATAATAATCAAAATGTATGTTATTATTAAATGATTTGTTTTTTTTTTCTTTTTTTTTGCTTGACAAATGGATCAGGAAAAGGAAATAATAATTTATCAATTGGCTTTTTTTTTTCCCAAGATTAAGGAATAAATTAATCGTTATCAAAACTTATCAATTAATCATATTTCATTTCTTTTTTTTTCCTTTTTTGTTCTCCTATTAAAATTTATTATTTTCCTTTATTTTAATTAAATTTTCAAGTACTTTTATTAGCAATAATTATTTCCAATATACTCTACCTATCATTTCATTGCGCAAAAATTTTTTTTTAATTTCTATATTTTATTTTTTTATTTTTTTTAATTTTTATATTTTAAAAATACTTTATTTGTTTGTTTTTTTTTCTCTTCCCAAACATAATCTAGCATTTCTTTGCAATAACTTTCTCATTTCTATTATTGTCATCGTTTCCAATTGCAGTTTCTTTTTTTTTTTTTAAGGTGACAAATATTTTTTAAAACAAATGTTTATTTTTTTTTATTCTCTCCCTCCCTCTCTCTGTCTCTTTCTCTCTATTAATTTTCTCTTTTACATAAACATCGATGAAATTTTATTGAATGTAGTGATCTTTTTTCGTTTTCTTCCATTCTTTTTCCTTTTCTTTTCCTTTTCATCAATTTATGCTTTTTTTAGAACGGAACATTTCATTTATTATTTAAATTATATTTAATTATTAGATTAAAAGAATGAAAAAATTGGAAAAGATAAAGAGAAAGAGAGAGAGAGAGATAAAAGATGAAATTTTGTTAAAATATTTGTTGCTTAATAAAAAAAAAGTAAAGGAAAATGACAATGAATCGGTGATAAAAAAAAAAAATTGAATTATAATTCCGATTTAATTATTGATTTTACATCCATTAAATATTTCAAAATGTTTTTAATTGAAAAAATGGAAGAGGAATCAAATAGGCATTACTTTCAGATAATTAATTAATTAATGACGAATTATTCATTGAGAATTAATTCCCTCAAAATGATATTTTCATTTCTATTCAATCATTTTTATTTCTTTTTTGTTCTTTTTTTTTTTTTTTTATAAATCACTGCATAATTTTGATTCTTTACCCGCTTTCCAATAATTCCATTTCACAATTATTGATTTCTATTATTTAATTACCCATTTAATTTACCCCCAATCTTAACCCACCTAAACAAACCAATTATTATTTAATCATTAATTCAATTCTTAAATGTTAACGGATTTTTTGTTTCTTTCTAATTGCTAATTTAAATAAATAAGTACGTGATCTTCTACGTTACAATTATATCTCACGTACGTGATCGTAATTTTTGATGTATTTTTGTAGACGAATATATTTGCATGAAACAAATATATTGTAATCTTCATAATGAACAGAAATTATCACTAATAATGGATTATAATCATTTCGAATGGAATAATTAATTAATTAATTGCTATTAATTTTTAAATTACTATTAACTATTATCGCTATTATTGAATGTCATTAACACGAGTGGAACTTTCAACAGTATTGGAAATTCAAATACCATTAGGAATAAATGATCATGATATTAGATGTCGTAGTAATATACATGAGAAAAAGCCATGTACCTGTACATTGGTACAAAATGAGATGTTATTGTACAAGGAATACAATGGTACTAAGGTGAATAAATAATATTTTTTCATACCTTTTTTTTTTTTGATTTCGATTTCTTATATTTATATATATTTTACTTTGAATAAAATAAAAAATTCATTGTACATTTACTTTTAAATTAGCTAAATAATTAAAGCTAATGCTAGTTGTAAATTTAAATTAGCTAAATTATTAAAGCTAATGTTAATTGAAAATTTGAATTAGCTAAATAATTAAAACTAATGCTAACTGTAAATTTAAATTAGCCAAATAATTAAAGGTAATGCTAATTGCAATATTTTATTTGATTCATCAATTATTATAAATGTATAATATTTATTTAAATTATCAATTAATGTAACTTTCACTTTTCCATTCCTTTCTTCATCATATTGTATTTCACTAGATTGCAATTTTATTTCAGTGAGTATAAATTTGAACTTAAACTAATAGTTATCTGTTTAATTAATTAACTAATTAACTAGTTAATTCATGTTTTTCTATTACATTCGTTTCCTATCATTTTG